CGCAGGTCCCCGCCCCTCCGGGTCGCTCCCAGCTCCTGGTCCCCCACTTTTGCGCGTGCCTTGGCCACCAGTCCTCGGCGACCGTCGGGTTGATGGACCAGGCTTGACCCGGGGTAGGGGGGGGAGAATAATTCCAGAGCCCGGTGATGCACACAGGGAGGTGAGCGGGGGTTCCCGGATGGTCCTGGGGGCGGAGACATTGGGGAGTCCCCGGAGGCGGGGCGCCCGCCGCGGGCGCCGGTTACCTGCCGGCCTCACGCAGGTAAAAAGAATTTAAGCCCAGAAAGCGAAACCAGCGCCAAAAGATTCTGGTCTCCTTCGTTTCCTCCCCGGAGCTTCGGGAGTTCACGCCTGGGGTGCCCGTGACCCGTGACCACCCACCCGCCACAACTGGGAAGCCCACGGACGCATTAACCTCTCCGTGACCACTGTGGGCCAGTCGAGGGGCCAAGCTTCGAGATAGGGGGCGCTGCCTCCATCCACGGAGTGGGCGGCACCCTCCCCCCAACTCCCGGGGGGCGTGCCCAACGCGTGCCTGCTCCCTTTGCCCCCGCCTAGAAGAGGCGCGTGCCAGGCCCTCGGCGCGTGGCCCCCGCTGTGGGGGAGGGGCGCGTCCTCAGCTGTATGGTAATGAAGTGCGGGCCCCGCCCCCCCGCCACCTCCCCTCGCCACCTCCCCTCACCTGGGGCCTGCGACACCTCCAGGGTCCATCACCTCCCTGCACTCTCTCCCCGGCCCCAAGCCCTCCGCCCCCTCCCCGAGTCGGGTAGCTCCGGTGGGACTGGCACGAACTCTCCTGGCCCCAGCCACTGGAGGGTCCAGAAGAGAGGAGGAAGCCATGCACGCCCGGCTCCTCACCCGAGGGAGGGATGGCGGGGTGGAACTGGAAGCGCGCAGACTTGTTTGAGTTTCAGGCGGCTTCACCAGTCTCGCCCGGCCGCGCAGCTGCTTCCCGGAACCCGACGTGCTCCCGGGAGGACGCGGACCGGGAGGGCAGGTCTCTCCCAGGCTCGGGATGCCGGGGAGCTCGCTCTCGGCGACGCGGAGGGCGGCGGGGGCCCTATGGCTTCAGCTGTCAGCTAGCTCGCGTGGTGGGGACTGTCTTCGAGCGATAAGATCG